TTCTGAAGGCACATGAAACATATTGCTTTTAGTCCCCTTTATCTGAATTGACTGGCAACTTCGTTTCGCACATCACCGAGATGTAAAGGGATAGCCTTTTTTCCCCTCTAGCGTGTTCATTTCACTGGCAACCCTGTAATGACTTAATGCCTTTTGAAGCAGCAGCAGCCCTTCTGCTCCAGCCATCACACATCAGCATGTTAAAAGCAACTGCAGGGTCCAATTCAATACTTGAAATACATTGTCAATATCACTATCACCTCAGATGCAAAGCAACTTGAGTGATAAAGAGGGGTGGGATGGGATTATTATTGCAAGGAAATTGGAGAGACACTGCATTTTGACTGCTAAAAAAGATGCCTCGCTTGCTGACTCTAACTTTAAAAGAGCCGTTTTGATGGTTAGCCTTGCATAATATTATTAAAACCCTTGACAAGCAGAGTTGCAGAGTTAAAAACCAGGCTATGGCAAGCGTTGGCCTTTGGAGGGAGGGAGGGAGGGGGAGGAGAAAAGTCAGCCAAGCTGTTTTTCTTCTTCTTTTACAACAGGGCTGGGCAAGCTGGAACATTCAGTCAGGGCAACAAAAATAAAGTATGGGACAATTACTTCAATTTCCCATTGTGGCCAGAGCTGAATGGGTTATTTCCTTTGCAAATCAACTTCCTCCTCTTGCAATTGTCCAGAGACAGTTGTTGAATTCCAGGGTGACATTAGAAAAAGAGCAGATTAGATGTTTTATCTAAGGCCTGGTAAATGCAGCTTCCAGGATCCCTGGCCCTTCCTCTGAAGACGTCAACCGCCATCCTGAGGCCCAACTCTCTTCGCCCGCCATGCTTCCACCAGGGCCTCTCTTGAGCCAAGTGACGCTGTGCCCAGACTCAGGCCAGGGTCTCTTCCAGAAGGCAACCTGGCTCTTGAAAAGAGGGAGCCCCAGGGAGGAGCAGCCAACTGTTCCTAGTTCAGATCTTTCCTTTGCAGGAAACTGTCTTACACCGGAAGTGCTCCACGTCTGGGCAACAGTCTATGCAAATCAGGATCATCCTGACCGACCCAGAAAGGCACGCCAGGTTAGGCACCGGATCAAAAGCAGCAAGAGCTCCTTGGCATCTGTGGTTCCAAGCAGGCATCCCATCAACTCCAGCATTATGGTCTCCATAGAAATTTCCAACATTACTCTCTCCACTAACAAATTTAGGTGGCCCTTTTCCAGTGAAGCAAAACAGGATCACTTACAGACACAACAGAGCTTGCAACGGCTCTTTGTTTCCAAGTTAAGGCTGACGCTTGGGCCAAATGGGAAGGTTTTTAAAAAGGTAGGTATGTTTTTGGAGTCAAGCAAGCTTTCTTTGGTAGCGATGTGTATTGTTGGGGGGGGGGCGGCGGCAGCACTTTGAGCAACTCCTTGTGCTGGTCTCTGAGGCTCTGAAAAAAAGACACGACCAGCTGGACTTCTCTTGCAAAATGTCAGGGGAGAGGGGGACTTGAAGCTGCCAGTGACCGTGCCCAGCTATGAAAGCCAACTCTTAAACCCCCCAGGTATTATGCTTTATTATTTTTCTTTATCAATTGCATTTGTACCTGCTTTTTCACTCAAAATAATACACACACCGCAACCAATAAATGACAGGCCAAACAATAAAGCTAATATTGAAAACAACTGGGATAAAAGCAACCGTCCGATTAAAGCCTGCTCCAGAGGGAGGAAGCAGGGCTAAAGAACACACATCCACTGGGTGTCCTGAGATGCCGACAGCAGAGGCAGCAGTTCTTCTCTGGGCTTTAAAGCTAAGCAGGGTTGGGCCTGGTTACTGTTGGATGGGAGACACCAGGAAATTCCAGGGCTGGTGGCTAGACTGGAAAAGTTGAAATAACTTCCCAGTAGAAGGCAATGACACACCACTTCTGCACTGTTGCCAAGGAAACCCCAGAACATTTTCCATAAAGTCACCAGAGATGAGCTCAACTTGACAAAAACTTTACCTTTTATACATATCGAGGTATTTCCTTTATGGAAATGACAGATACTTAGGAAGCCCAAAATGAAGAGGCACTCGGTCAAAAATGCGAGCGTGAACAGCATTCCGCTGAAAGAGGCGATTAAATACCACAAAGCAAACCTTTTGGGTCTGCAGAAGGAAGACAAGCTCTTTGCTCCTTTGACCGGTTCCTATTCAGGGCGTGTCCTTCCATGGGAAAGGGGCAAGTTCCGACTTCAGGTGCGTGAAGACGGACTCTCTTGGAGGCCCCGAAGGGCAGATCGCGCAGAGCTGCAATGACCGATTCTTTGGGATCGCAAGACTCTTAACACATTAACCGGTTTGCTTATACTTACTACAGCTCCCTTCAAAGGGAATGAATGAACACAGCCACCAAGACTGAGTATTTCTGACTCAGGTGGCTTTAAATCCAGCAAATTTTATTCAACATGCATACTAAATGTTATTGCTATTATACTATTAAAAACATACTTTTGCAATTAAGGATGTACTTATTACGGCAGGAGCCAACTAATCTGTGCCCTTCCAGGGCCCCTCAAATTGCATTACGGGTATTCCTCAGGTTAGGACCACCTGTTCAGCAACTGTTCAAAGTCACAATGGCGCTGTACAAGGGGGACTCACAACCAGTCCTCAAAGTTCTGGCCGTCGCACCACCCCCATGGTCATGCGATCGCGATCTGGGCACTTGGCAACCGGGTCGCACTTACGATGGTTGCAGTGCCCCGCAGTCATGCGATCGCCATTTGCGACCTTCCCTGCCGGCTTTCCATAAGCAAAGTCAACGGGGAAGCCGGCAGGGAAGATCGCAAGTCGCTCCTGCCACTTTTTCTCCTGAAGAGCCCCTGGGCGGCATTGGGGATGTTATACTCCATAGCACCTACCCACGGCACCCACCCACCTGCCCATACTCTGTAGTGCCTGCTTGCCTGGGACGTGGTTTCAGTGCCTCTTCCCACATGGCAGTCCCATGAGGTCCATGCTTAATGACCCACGCGGTCCTCACCCACTACAGTCAGTCCTCAAAGTTGCGGACTTCACAGCATCCCCGGGGTCACGTAGTCACAATTCAGGTGCTTGGCAACTGGCTCACAGTTATTACAGTTGCAACATCCTGAGGTCACATGATCACCATTTGCAACCTTTTCTGCTGACTTCCCACAAGCAACATCAATGGCTTCCCGACAGGGAAGGTCACAAGTTGCTCCTGTAAATCGCTCTCACTCCCGCTGCTTTTTATCCTGCGGAGCCCTCAGGTGGCATGGGCATCTCATACTCCACAGCGTCCACCCACCCGCACTCCATAGCACCTGCCCATCCGTATTCTGTAATTGCCTGGGACGCAATTTCAGTGCCTCTTCCCATGTCATGATCACGTGAGGTCCTTGCTTAACAGCCCATGCGGTCCTCACTTAATGGCAGCAAGCAGGACTGCCAGGATTGCTATTGCTAAGCAATACAGTCATGTGGCATCACGCTTTATGACCACGTTGCTTAGCAATGGAAATTCCGGTCCCATTTGCCATCATACCCCAAGGACTACCTGTACTCATATCCCGCTATGAACCCAAGAATCAGGGTGGTGTAGTGAGGAAGGTGTTGGACTAGGAGTAGGGAGACCCAGGTTCAAATCCCTCCTTGGCCACAGAAACTCTCTAAGGTGACTTTGGGCCAGTTCTTCAGCCCAAGAGCCAGGATGGTGTCCTGGTGAAGGTGATGGATTGGAGCAGAGAGACCCAGGCTCTCCACCCTCAGCCATGGAAGCTACTTGGGGGACTTTGGGTCAGTCCCATTCTCTCAGCCCAGCCTACCTCACAGGATTGTTGCTATGGAGAAGACTAGGGGGATGGAGTGCTATGTATGCTGCCTCCAAACAAAAACCAGAAATCTAACCAACACTTTTAGTATTATTTAAAGATGCCTATCTTGCTTTTCTGCCTAATAAGGGGGCTGACTGAAAGTGAGACAGAACACAGATACAAGGAGGTTCTTCTAAGCTGGCTTTGTACAACGTCAACTAAAATGTCTTTGGGAAGTTGTCGATCTTCCAGCCATTCTCTTGATAAGTTGCATGACTCAAGCCCTCCCATTCCACTGGCTGACAGGTCTTATAGTCAGGGTGTTCCTCCTGACGTCTAGCCTGAACCTCCTTCCTGTAATTGTAATCCACTGGCTCTGATCCTACCCGGGGG